AGTTTGCAATTTTTGCTGATAAAATAGACTTCAAAGCAACAAAGATCAAAAGAAGCAAAGAAGGATATTACATAAAGATAAAAGGATCAATGTAACAAGAAGAGCTAAAGATCCTAAATATATATGCACCCAATACAGAAATACCCAGATATATAAGACTTATAAAGAGACTTGGACTCCCACACAATAATAGTGGGAGACTTACAGATCAATGAGACAGAAAGTTAACATCGATATTCAGGACTTGAACTCAGATTCGGAACAAGTAGACTTAATTAACATTCATAGAACTCTCCACTTTAAATACACAAAATATGTGCTCTTATCAGTACTACATCACATGTATTTACAGGTTTAAATGAAATATTGGTTGGCTGCTTGTTAATTATTTTCTTCCCTCTTTTTTTTTTAATGTCTCTATTATTAAACACAATTACGGGCATACCCAGTTTTAGACTGCATTCTAGCCCGGGCAATAAAGCAACACCCCTGTTCTCTCTCCCTCTTCTCTTCCTCTTCCTCTTTCTTCCTTTCCTTCATTCTTTTTCTTTTTTTTTATTCTTTTTCTTTCTTTCTCTCATTCTTCCTCTAAGAAAAAAAAAAGATATTTAAAAAAAAAGTAAAGAAAATAAGGGAGAAGGTAACACTTCTCAACTTGTTTTGTGAACCCAGCTCAACTCAAATCTCAACAAAGAGCACAATGAAAGCAAATTAGTATATAAGCAAATAAAAGCCAGTAATGCCTGAAACAGAAGCTACCTCATGGCCACGTTAAATTCAGACAATAAATAAAAGACCATTTTAACAATTAAAACTCAATGTAATTCAATTAATTCCAGTTGAAGATCTTTTCTGAATAGGTGCAGAAAAATGTATTTGACATAATTCAAGATCCATTCAAGATACAGACTTTCAAAAAAACAGGAAAAGAGAATTTCCTCAAACTGATCAAGGGCATGGTTATAGAAATGAGTCAAAGACAATCTCTGTGTGTTGGTATCTAGGTTGCTGATTTCTTCTGTATGAGACCTGTTAGCTCAAAGTCTGTCAGCACCAAACATAAATTTTTGCACATCCAATTATTTTTAAAATGCCCAAACAAGCCTATGTACAGCTATTTATGTCCTGTGTGCTTTGCATACCCCATGAAATTTCACCCAGCAGCTGTTATCCATTGTTCAGATAGGGCCTTGATGTTGTAAGGCCTCAAGCCTCTGCTGCCCTTCAGGGGTCTCTAACAGAGACTCCCCACTATGCTGCTGAGCAAAATCACCAAGGCACCTCTTTCTGATCCCCTCTCTCTTGTCCTCCTTCTGTGAGTGGCCCCTTACCACAAGCTCTGGGAGGTCTCATGCTACAAGGGACCTCACCTCTCATTCAACCCTGTCCAAGTGCCACCCAATAAAGTTTTATATATGTTACTGCCACTCATGGTGATAACTTTTTTCTTGATCAGTTCACAAATCCTTTGAACCCCCTATAAATATCTACAAAAAAAATCTACAGGTATCATCATACTTAATAGTGAATCAATGAATGCTTTTCTGCTATAATTGGGAACAAGGCAAGGATGCCCACTGTGACTACTTCTATTAAACTGAGCAAGGTCCTGGCTAGTGCAATAAGGCAAGAAACAGAAAAGGCATAAAGATCAGGAAAAAAGTGAAAATATTTCTATTTGCTGGGTCGTAATTATTTATATAGAAACTCCTAAGGCATATTCACTATTATTAGAATTTAAAATTGACTTCAGCAAAGTCACAGGATATAAAGTCAACATAAAAAACTCAATTTTATTTGTATATACAAGTAGCAAGCCATTGAAAATAAAATCTTAAATTTTTTCATTTAAAATAGGGTCAAAAACCACAAAGTATTTAGGAATAAATTTAGCCAAAGAAGTAACAACCTCTACCTTGAAAACTGTAAAACATTTCTCAGAGAAATTGAAGAAGATCAAAATAAGTAGACTAAATCATGTTCACAGATTAGGGGCAAAAGCAACATTATTAAGGTGTCAATTCTCCCCCAAATCTCTATAGATTCAATGATATTCCACACATAGTTCCAGCAGGTTTGTTGACAGAAACTAAGAATCTTATTCTAAAACATACGTAGAAATATAAAGGAACTAAAATTTCCAAAGCATTCTTAATAAAACATCACGAAGCTGGGAGGGTTTAACCTACCTCATCTCAAGGCCTACTTTAAAACTACATTAAACCAGAAGGTGTGGTTTTGGTGAAAGGATGCCATATAGCTCAACTGAATGAAAAATAGTTCAAAAACGGACCCACACATATACGGCCAATTGATTTTCAACAAGATTCCCAAGGATTTTGGTGGTGGAAAGGATGTCTTTTCAACAAATGATAACTAGAAAAACTGGATATTCATATGGGGAAAAAATGACCATAAACAATAAATCACACCATAAATAAAAATTTACTGGAAATAGATTCGATCATAGACATAAATGTAAAAGCTGAAACTACAAAATATCTAAAACTTAAGATGAAATCTTTGTGACCATGGAGGTAGGATAATGTTTCTTTGTCATGTTACAAAAATCACTAAACATAAATGAAAAAATTGATGTCTCCATTAAAGTTCAAAACTTCTACTCAAAAAAAAAGACACTAACAAGGAAATAAGCAAACCACAGATGGGGAGAAAATATTTGTAATACATATTATTTGATAAGGGACTGGTTTCTAGGATATAAAATAACTCTTGCAACTTAGTAGTAAAAAAGCAAACAACCAATTTATTTTTTTAATGGGCAAGATTTTAAAAGAGGATCTATGACTGGCCATGACTGGCCATAAGTGCATGAAGAATGACTCTCCATCATTAGTCATCAGGGAAATTAATGGTAGTCATCAGGGAAAACGTTATGTGTCAATTTAGCTAGGCTGCAGCAGTTATTCAAGAAAACACTAATCTAGGCATTGTGAAGATATCTCGTAGATGGGATTGAGGTCCATGGTCGGTTGACTGTAAATAAGGGAAGCTATTCTAGATAATCTTGGTGGGCCTGGCTCAATCAGTTGAAAGGCCTTAAGAACAGAGCTGATGTGTCCCTGATGAAGAAGACATTTTGTCTGTGGGCAGAAGCTCCTGCCCATACCCACGAGGCTCAGCCTGCCCTTCCTGACTGCCTGCCCTATATATTTCACTCTGGCTGGGCTAGAGAGTATGAAGATGGAGGGTGAGAAGGATGTCAATGAAAACCCTACAAGAGAGTCTTCAGAAAACCCTACAAGAGAGGCTGACTCCAACTGAATGATGCTGTACTATGATCTCTGGACCTATAAGAACTAGGGCAGAAACATCACATACCCTACAACATCTGGGACTGCTGCTCTCACGTGGTCCTCTTGGCACATTAGGGTCACAATCTTCCAAAGGAGAGACTGCATGGGGCTATTCAAGGTGCAGAGGATATTCTAATGCTAGACGGCCAACGTCAGACATTTGCTTACACCCATTGCCAGCCCCCAACCTCCAAAAGGGAGCTCATGTCTAACTAAGGGGCTCTTTTCCCTTATTTTCCCAAGGGTTGGGATTTACTTGGAGGATGGTGGTCCGGAGACTTATAATCCTAGACTGCTCTAGGAAGTGAATTAAATAATTCTCCCTCCTCTCTTTACCTCATCTACTATCTTTGTTAATATATTTATCCTATACCTCATGCCCATCAGAGAAACACATTTTTTGCTGTCTTGCTGTGACAGAGATCCTGAAAAACACATCAGATTCCACCAACTCTCAATTCCCAAGGTACATCTGGTGCCTTTGCTCCCTGGGCATTTCCATATGGGTTGTCTGTATTCACATTTGTATTGTTCTAGACACACCTCTGGGAATGTTTCTGCTCCTTCCCCAACAAAGCTTGGAAGCCCTGGCAAGGCAGTATTTCATCAGGAATCTGCATTGGGCAAGGCTTCTCTGAACCTTGCAAGAAATGTGTTACTACAAAAGCTTTGCTTTTGATGCAAAGGTTGGGATACCCCTTGCTTCTAGAGATGACCATTTCCACCTTTTTATAATTTAATTTAAAAAATTTTAACTTCTTGCAATTTTTAAGTGTTAATCTATATTGGTAAGTATATTCACATTGTTGTACAATTTCACTTTTTTTGTTTTAAAAGTAACTCTGCAGTCATGTGGATTTACACATGGTCTGCTGGGAGATGTCATGAGATTTTAAATTTCTCTCTGGGATGTTTCGAAGGCATAATCTAACAGGCCTATCCACATTATCAAAAGCCTTCGTGTGTTTTTCTCTGCTGTCAGGATATATTTGAATATAAATAATTTATTTTCTGCCCAGAATCCAAAATTATATTCTATACATGTGAGTCTTCCCAGTAGTCCATCCTTACCTGTAGAACCAAAGAGAAACTGTGCAAGGTGACAATTACTCCCCACAGTAGAGGTCTACAACTTTAACTTGCCTACATATGGCCCAGGTGACAATGCAGAATCCATAGTCCCATTCCTAGAGATTTGAATTTAGTGGGTCTGGAGTGCCGCCTATCATTCTGTATTTTTCACACACTCCTAAGCAGGATGGCAGCAAATCATCCTTGCGGAACCAGAACCTAAGCAGGTGATCAGAGAGGAGATGCCTGCCCACTATGCTTCTCCCCTCTCAGTCCTGAGCTGTGAGCATCCTCCAGCTGGGCCCAAGGAGAATTCAAGGACCTCCAAGATCTGGAGCCTGTTTTGCTTCTTCATTTACAGGCTTGTAGTCTGTGCAGAAGATCCTGTAAGCACCTTGGGTGAAGACCATGCCTACCTCATAGGGCTGTCCTGAGGATAAAATAAATAGAACAGGATTTGGCACACAGTGAGAACTCAATGAACGTTAGGTGTTGTTCTACCCATGACCATGGTCATTGCTGGTGCCATCACTAACACTCCTATCAAGAGATGGCAAGGAGAAAGCTCCTGAATGAGCCCTCCATCCTCTACCATGTGAAAAAGAAGATCCCACTCCAAGCAGGTAAGAACTGTGCAGAACAAATTAAAATCATGAGTCTAGCATGAGCACCACACCCCTTTCACCTCATCTCCCTCACACTGGGAGTCTTTTCCAAGGTTCTTGCCTCTGCAGGAGCAGCCCAGGCATTTCACTCAACAGGAAACCATCCTTAACTGAGGTTAGTGGACCCTTCTCCAAGACTATTTCCTCCCTACATGCCACTGTAATCTCCAAATCCCTTTTCCGTCATCCCAGACATGTTCAGCTTCCCAATCTGATGCAATCCCCTTCACCAAGTGGAGGCCTTCACCAAGCCCTCTTCTGAAGTCAAAGTGCTATGAACTTTCCCTAGGACATCAATGACTGTGCTGAGCCTTAGCCCCCTTCCCAGTGTTCCCAGCACAGTCCTACAGCAGCAAGTCAACCTGCATTCCAGTGGGAAGTGGCTGTGTCTTGCACAACCTTAAAGCTTCCCTAGTCTCTGCACAAACAGTAGTCTTTTTCAGAATGTGAGGAAGTGGGCATACTGTACATAGAGCCAAGTGCTTAGTAGGTGCTCAATGGAATGAATGTGTTGTTAAGAACAAATAGTTTCTCTTCAAAGGGTTTCAATTTCTGGTTCTTTGTTCTATTCTAAAAATTAATCTTACCCATTCATCTATCAGCCCTCCCTATCTCTGCTGTGACCAAACACACTCGAGCATTTCCCGTCACCTATGTAAAAGTCCTTCCCGTCAAAAGCCCACCCTTGCCCCCTTGATGATGTCAACAATAGCCAACTGGAATTAGCCTAGATTGTGTGGTCCAACCCCAGCCCGCCCACAGTGGGAGGACACAGGAACAGGGTCTGCATTAGGGGATAAAAACTCCTGCTCTCCTTTGTTCTGTGTGCTCTCCCTTGCCTCTGCCTTGCATTACCTCTATACCTTCTATAGAGGTAAATTGCCTTCCTGAGAAACTTTTGCCTTGTGTTGGTTCCACTTTGAGGCACAGAGCATTTTTATCTCCAAAAATCTGGGGGCTTGTCTGGGATTCCCATTCTCCTCTGGGAAAGGGTCTCTGGTCCCCTCCTGTGAGAAGGCATGCCCCGCTGCCTCATTGTGGCAGCTCAGGGGTGAAGGAGTTGAGACCCACCCAGTGTGACGAATAAACCCAGACTCTCAGCAACATGGGAAAGAAGCTGGCCGGCAGCTTGGGGAAAGAGGGCTCACATACCGCAGTGACCAGGTAACTCTGCACAGACCAAGGTGAGAAAAGCCACAGGGGTGGTGAAGTATTGCCTTGGTGGTCGGGATTCTGGAGGTTGAAAGTGTGTGAATGGTAACAAGCACTACTGCTGTGCGGAGTGAGTGAGTTCAATCTGTGGTTCCATGGTTACCTCAGACGGCTAATGGTGGCCCTCTTGTAGGGATCCTGACATTGGGGTTTATACAGTCCTGGCAATGGTAAGAAGAACATAATTTCCTGCTGGGGAAGTGGCCAGAGTGGATGAAGCGAAAGAAGGGTGCAAAGAAACCCCAGCAGGTGGGGCCAAAGGATAGGTGAGACATTTCTAATATGAGGAATTGAGCCTAATAGTCCTAGCAAGCCCCTAGAGAAGGATAGGCAAGACATTTCCTACAGGAGAGATTGAGACTAACTAGGACCCAATATGAGAACTACCCCAAGCAAGACAAGTGGAAAGGATAAAATTAGCAACAAAGATATCCCCCCCTCCAGACTCCTAGGTCTCATATTGAAACATTAGAAAGGTAATGAAAAGACTAGACATAAGAAAAAGCAACAAATGATAAGATAGTGCTGTTCCATTTGGACTCAAGAACCAATCCTCGATCCCTTAGTTTTCTGGCAAAATTTGGGTCAAATGAGGAATGGATTTGTGACCTTTTAATAGAAAATGTTGCTAGTAGACCTGCCTCCCAAGAGGAAGTAGATTATGCCCTATGTTGGTGGCGGGGACATGTCTTTTACCCTCCAAGTGTTGAAAGGAGCAGTTCAAAAACTAATCTTTGGAGGAGATTTAGTTGTAAGCGTGCCCCATCAAGTTAGAACCATCTTTCTTAAATCAAAAAGGTGATTAATGGACTCAAGAATCTTAAAGGACAAGGCTGTTTTGTTAAAAAGAGATAATTTAACACTAACCACCGACCTAACCTAGCAGTTTCTTAACAGGAAGTCTAAACCTAAAAAGAGAATACACATGTTTAGATTTAATTGACTATCACACAAAGCTTAGGCCCAATTCAAGAAAGACCCTCCCTTCGAAACAGGGCGGCACTCCTTAATAGATGGTTCCTCCCAAGTGATTGAGAAAAAAAGACACAATGGTATTCAGTAACTAATGGAAAAGCTCTTAAAGAAATAAAGTCAAGAAAATTGTCTAATAATTGGTCTACCCAAACTTGTGAGCTGTTTGCATTGAGTCAAGCCTTAAAATACCTGCAAAAGCAGGAAGGAACCATTTATACTGATTCTAAGTACACCTTTGGGGTGGCTCATACATTTAGAAAAATTTAAACTGAACGAGGTCTTCTTAATAGTAAAGGTCAAAACCTTGTTCACAAAGAGTTAATCACCCGAGTATTAAGTAACCATCAGTTGCCAAAAGAAATAGCTATTGTCCATGTCCCTGGACACCAGAAAAACCTGCCTTTTAAGAGTCAGGAAAATAACTTAGCAAATCAGAGACAAGCAAGCTGACATTTCTTCTACACCTGTTTTCCACTCAACTCCTTATCTCCCTCCTCCTACCATGATCCCATTTTCCTCTTCTACTGAGAAAGAAAAGCTAATCAAAATGGTGCTAAAGAAAATTCAGAAGGAAAACAGATATTTCCAGACCAAAAAGAAACATTGTCCAAACCCCTTTATTAAAGAAATCTTGTCCCATCTGCACCAGAGGACCCATTAGGGACCCCAAGCCATGTGTGACGCAGTTTTCTGAGTTTATAAATGTATAAGAATGTATGCCCTGGCCAAACAAGTTACAGATAGTTGCTTACTAATAAAGAAAGTACTAAAGAGATTGCCCCTTAAGGTGAGGAGCCCAGGCTTAGACCATTCCAAAGTCCCCAGATTGATTACACAAAGACACCTCCAATAGGTCTTCTAAAATATTTATTAATGATAGTAGATTACTTCACTAAGTCAAAGCTATTCCCTTTTCAAATGCAATGGCCAATAATATAGTTAAAGCATTAATTAAATATATAGTGCTCAAGTTCAGGCTAATAGAAAATATTAACTCAGGCAATAGACCTGAGTTAAGCGCATATCCTTAAGAAGCTATCCCAAACCCTGGACATTAAATAAGAACTTAGTTACCAAATGCCTTCCTATTGCCTGTTTAAAAATAGCCTTTCCCTCAGGAATTATATACTTGGTCTCTCCTCTACTTTCCCTTTTCCTAAAACCATAGGTCTCCTCATCAAAAGCTGGAATAAGGAGGAACTTGAGCCAGCCTGGGAAGGACCTTACCTGGTGCTTCGAACCACTGAAACTGCAGTCCTGATGGCAGAAAAAGGATGGACCCATCACACCCGAGTCAAGAAAACACCACCACCTCCGGAGTCACGGCCATTATTCAAGGGGAAAACCTCCTCAAACTAAAGCTAAGAAAAGCTTAACTGTCTTTCATTTATTCTATTGCTCTTTCTTCTTTCCTCATTCTATTGCTGACCACCTTGTTATCATGTAACCATGTCAGATTCACCCCAAATCATTAGCTTTGATGCTTACCTTGTTATACCTTGTGAGGAGGATGAACAGTGGCAAAGACAAATCCCTACTTTAGAAAAATACCCCTCCCTACAGAGAAACCACTGACCCCACATCCTGCTCATGGTGAAGGTACCAGGACACCCCAAGTTGGGAAATACGCTCTCAATGGGCAGATATCATCTGGACCACTAGAGATCTGGGCTGGACATCACAGGGCTGTACTGATCTAAAATCTCACCCCCACCTCACTAAAGGAACCGCGCCCTCTAATTGTCAATCTCACCATTGTAACCCAGTAACTATCTCCATTAATACCCCTTCTTCCA